CTTTCCCTCTTCCCCTCAAAAGCCTAAACCAAAAGCAGCATATAAATAAAACCCAATCTGTTTTGTAAACAGATTGCAGTCAAACGGAAAATTCTTACCTTGAAGCATCAAAGCTGTCATAGGATCCAACTGTGTAGTGTCTAAACAGTTTCTTTGTTCTATCTGTTCGTGTTTCTGCACAAAGAAAAGGGAACTTTTAATAATACTTCTGTATTTAGAAAAAAGAAAACTAAATCACGTGCTGGGTTTCTTGCAATTCCAAAGCAGATATTCTGCTATACATCAGCAAAGGCCAATTTACAATACTTATAATGAATTAACATGGTCTCAAGCAGTTTTGATGAAAATTTGATTTTTGCACTTGAGAAATTCTTGTATATAACAACAGGTGAGAAAGGAGAACTTCTTGTAGATGATATCTCGTTTACAAGATTGTTAAGACCCACCCACATTCTCAGTGGCAAAACATTTCAAGTCCACTCTTAATTGCTTATTTGCTAGCTTGGATTAAGAGACAAAATAAGAGAAGAAAGAAGAAAAACCAGCAACTCATTCCAGAAGGGTTATGAAAATAGCCAGAAGAATGCAAAACAGAATTTTTTGTTTTAACACACACACACACACACAAAACTAAAGCTATTTCTATGGTTTTATTAGGCATACAGAGAATAGGATTGGGGGAAAAGTAAGTGCCTACATTTGTTGCTATCAATCAAATCTCATAGGAGGTATTGCCATGAAACTTCTACTCCCACTATATAAGCAGAAGCAAACAATCCAACCAACCAGAAATAAAAACACAAAAAAGATAAAGAAAAACCACTTTTGGGAAACATGGAATAAGGATAAGGAATAAGATAAACACTCAAAGGAATAAGATAAACACATCTGGTAAAAAGGCATTTACAACCTCAAATTCATTAAAAATTTATATTTATGCCTTTTCTAAAGAAGAAAACAATGCATCCCATTGAAGGAACCCCCACACCCACTGGTTGCAGCATTCATCTATAGGACCATACAGTTTATGTTCAAAAACATCTATTTCCACCATCAGATTCACCAACATTAATGCTAGTTTAGCATGGATCTAACAGTTAAAGCATTTAGTTTAGAACCATATCTGGAGAATGACAGATAACACTAAACATATCTCTTTCGCTTGGATCAGAAAGATCCAAGAGACTTTCTGCTTTCAACGGACATCTGTAAGAGCATCAATAAATCAAGCACGCAGGAAAGATGCAGAAGCTACCCCAGTATTTGGTTGCTTCAGTTTTCACAGCAGAGAATATAACCTATAACTACTCCAAAAGAGTTATAAATTACATTTTTGCAGAAGAAGAAGAAAAAAATACAGTAGGCAAGTAATTCATTGTCACATTCTTCTTCAGAATGACACAAAAACATACACAAGCTTACTCCAAAGAGGAATGCAAATAAAGTACAACTTTAACCAAAAAAAAAAAAAAGGGAGTGAGAAACCTTCTTTGGTAGCTTTTTATATTACAATAATCGTTGTTTAGAAAGTAGCAACTTTCTGAGCCTCACCCCACTTGATTTTTACAAGAACAGTATTTTAGGGTATTTGCTTCTCTCAGACAAGTATCTTTAGTATGGCCTCTTTTTAGATGGTTTGTTCATTCAAAGGAAGGTACATAATAACTAGAGTTTTTGACACACAAAAAAAGTCTTGCCTAAGTACAAGCTGGTTCTCAAATGCCATCACGTTAAGCTGGCTGAACAGTTATCAAAAATCAAATTGAAATATTTCTAGTGTAGCTTGTGACCATGAAATCCTCATCTGCATGGCTGAGGAACTTTTCGCTGAAGGCCAGATTGGCTCCACGCAAAAGGCTTTTATTAATTCTCCAAGTTAGACATAGCCCTCAAGCAATACTGCCTCTATGTCACAGCTCTTCAGGACGTTAAAAATTACTCTGAGAAAGGATGCAGTGCTGCCAGAAGACCAAGTGCTAGTCTGCAGAGAGAAAAAAAACACATCAGTGCAGGATGGCTGGCTTTGAAGATGACTAAGGAGCACATTGTAGGATAAAGAACTGGGATTCAGACTTTGAGAGGAAGGCATGGACAAAGGGATTATTTCCTTGCTTTAACCAGCACAGGTTGCTGCTGCCTGGCAGAGTAGGCAAGTGACTTCCTCACAGTGCTGCACCAATTTGAAAGACACAAGAAAAGTAGGACTAAAATTTAAAAATAAAAATAAAAATCATTTTTTGGGGACCAGTCATCCTCCCTCCTGCAGGATGGCCAGAAAGGGAGAAAATCCCTATTATGATACGACTCCTACAAGGCAGTTTTGTTCAGGCTTATTTTGTCCCTTTGTCATTCATCTACAACCTACAGTTTGCGTCAGAGACGCCCCACCTTTACCCTCCTCGCTTGCTGCGAGAGCTGCGTAGCTGCTGCCCGCCCTTACCCCCTACCTTTCTGGAGCGCCCGGTAGAGACCCAGCTTGCACCCACAGTCATCAGCACCTACCATAAAGGCAATCAAAGGTGAGCCAGCCAGCTCGCCAGCTGCAGGACAACATGCTGCCTTTCACAGACCAGAGCTGTAAGCACGGGGAGCAGCAAGGCTGCGCGACAGCTCCTCAAAGAGATCTGGTTTTGAAGTCACTGTGTGACTGTGCCTCCAAGCGTACTGTAAAGGGTTCAGTGAATTTTACGGGTCGTGCCTTTGTTGCTAAGTTTACAAGTCTGGCTACAAAATCCAATGACCCGCTGTGCCCTGGAGTAAAGCGACCTGCCTGAATTGCAGTCTGTTCACCACTGAGCAAAATTCTTCTCCACGCCATCCTAAAAAGCATAGTTTAATATCAAGAGATATAACGAGAAGCCTCACATAAGAATATAAACCTACTTTCCATTTAGAGTTGACCACTGGCCTCTTCTCAGAGGTCAGTTAAAAAATCATTAGAAGAACAAGGTATGATGAAGGATATTTGGAGCTCTTAAAGTCATTGCGTGAGCCTTTAAGGAGCCAGATGTTTCTTCTGCAGAAACTGTTTTCTATAGCATGATATTTCAGTGCTATTAATGAATACAAAGTGGGTGGGAAGAAAGGAAAGACGCAGTAAGACAGATAGCTTTGTTCAGCTACTTAGTATTGCACAGCCAGCATTCGCTAGCTGCAGTGTGTATCTGCTCCCTGTCTCTCCCACCCCTCTGCCTTCCCCCGCTCCTTTGTGCGCAATCACACTCACAGGGGTTCTCTGGGAGACCATTAGCCTTACAAATCCCTCCACTCAAGAGTATACAGTGCGTTTCTCAGGTTGCTGTGTAAGCTCCCTAAACCCTGACTCAGGTTCCCGTCTATCCTACCACGCAGCATAAATACAGACATCTGTAAGTAGGGAAGAGTCACCATAACGAACGGGGTACTAACAAAAAAGCTAACCCAAAACAAAACTGTGGGCCACTTAAACGTTCCCTTCTCTAATTTGACTAAAGAATACAAAGAACCTATAGGTAATTGTTTAAAAAATAATTTTTCTGAATTCAAGCCAGAATTACACAGCAAAAAAAGCTCTAACCGCACCAACTGGCTACTTCCAGTTTTCAGTAGGTTCTGTTGCTACCATTGCTACGGCCCCAGGTTTTCTGGGGATCAAAATTTTTAAATCAGAGTGCGTTGGAGTAAGCTGGCCTGAGACTACTCACCCTATGATCATTGCTACGGTCATTACCGTTGTGGCAAGGTGAACCTTAGAAGTTATTCCAGGAGGAAGGACAAAATATCAGTGTTTGCAAAAATGTCATTTCCTTTAAATTGACAGAAAAGAGGAACACTAGTACACCATTTGAGATGTCCAGATTTCTTGCAAACCCCATATATTTTACCAGAGTAGTTCCACCACAATTTTTTTTTTTTTTTAAATATCTCTAGTTAGCTAGGAAATTTTCTCTCTACAGGTCTCTGCCACTTCTAGGCTACAACAAGACATATCTGAGCATGAAGCTTGAAGCATCAGCACAAAGGTCATGGCTAACAACTCTGTTCTTGAAGTACTGCACGGCTGTTCACAGAGGAAAGATCATTTATGCAAAAAGCAAGGCTTTCTATACAGCTACAATCTCCCCACTTTTCACTACCCCTCCACCCAAAAAAAAAAAAAAAAAAAATCAGTAAACCACCTAAGAGGCTTTATCCACACCAATTAGAAAGACACCTAGGAGCAATTTGAGTGCTAGTGTGACGAGAGCCACAGAAGAGCCTGCAAGGATCAAAATAACATGGCAAGTTCTTTCTTGGTCTATCAGCCACTGAAGCTAATGGAGTAGCAGCAGAAGTAAAAAATTTGCGCTGTGCAATAGTGGTAATATTAAATCATACAACCCTAGCTTTGACCTTGTGTTTTTTTATACGAAACATTTGATGTCTGCAGTCACCTCAGCAAACAACAGACTAAAACTCCGCCACACTAGAACGTAACGTATAGGGGTCAGAGAGGGGCGAACATTTAGAAGATGTGGCAGTAAAACATTTTATCCTTTTCTTCTTCCACCTGAGGAGGAGTTATGGTTTTCCTCAACTGAAAAATATGTATATGGCTTCCCTGCAGCTTCACTATGTTAGCCTCATAACTGACCACAGGACTGCAACAGCGCCTGCTGACAGCATCCTCAAAAGCCGAAAATCTCTGGCAAGAAACCAAGGAATAAAATTTGGACTCATATCCACAAAGGGCTGGCAACTCCTCCTTGCCTGATTTCGACAGCGACTAGCCCCTAAGTATTGCCGGCACGTTAAAAGAGACGAACCTTATTTGTAATAGATCGCTTACACCTTTGATATTGTTTGGAAAAGTTAA